AGGAATGGCAAATAATGGGCTATTTTTAGGGAAACTCTTTTTATCACTTACTTGAGCATATATAAGAATCCTGATGAATCAGACCTGAAGGCAAACAGCAAGCTAACATTCTGCCAGAACAATTAAATGCCCTAAAATATCCTCATAGTCCAGCTAGCTCAAACTCACTAGGGACTTTTTTTCCAAGGAGAATGACTTATTTTGAGAACAGCGCAATAAACTCGAGAAAAGGACATAAAGTATGTCTTTGAAGCTTCACTTCTTACTGCATGCTGTTATCTTTTCCTGCAGCTTCTTGGAATACAGGCAGTAGTAAGTGGGCTTACGGTAGACTTCTGATGTTTAAATTTTGGTTAAGTGAAGACCAAGTCATGTTTCGTGCAACCTTTCCCATATACTTCTGATTGCTTCCTGAGTCAAGTGACTGATTACTGCTTCTTTTTCATCTGTCTTGCGCCGTAATAAGCTGTTGACCTGAGCATTATTTAAATCTGGATAGCAAGTAATATTTTTGCCAATAGTCGGTTCTTATTTACAGCCCCAGGCCTCGTGACAAGCTGGAAGCTGCATAGGAAAAACAATAAATCTGTAGCTGTTCCACAAAAATATTTTTTGCCATTGGGCTTTGTCATAGTGTTCATTACACCTTTCCTGTCATAATTTTCTTCGGGGGGGGGAAGAGTGAAGATTGATGGGTGTGTACACCTAATATTGATTTCTTTACCAAAAACACGCAGCCCGAGAAAATTTCATAGTCAATTTGCATCTGATTGAAATGTGGCTGGATCCAGCCTCCTCCCAAGGGAAGGATGTTTTCACCTTCTTACCAAAGCCCACATGGAAGCAATGAAAGCCGATGCTTGGGGTGAGCCTGATCAGCAGGAGACAACAAAACAGCTTTTGTCTCAACAATGTGTAAAATGCAGAGAGCAAATTAAATTTGTTTATACAGCGGCTGTTTTCTGGAAAGCTTTGTGCCTTGTGTGGTAAATTGCAGAGGGAAACTTGGAATTTCCACGGGGTTGTTGACCAGCCCTGAAGGGGGTGGGAATAATGAGAACATTAAATGTGCGTAATTTATGATACCCCCCTAACTGTCGCTGCAGATTGCATTCCAGAAAAGCAATTCAGCAGCTGGGTGCTAGTTTTATCAGAGACGATTCAGGTTTGCTGAGCTGGTTCATCTGGCTCTCGTATTTTCCGCACAAACCCTGTCATGGGTCTAATGCAGTGGAACGGTCTTCCTTCGTAAATGAGACTCGAGATACAACGGTAGCTGAAGGGCGCTGGCAGTGCGACGAGTGTGTCCCTCGGTCTGAACTCTGCGTTCCTCCCCATCAGGTCCAGCTGTATTTCGCCTGCTTGCCAGAGGAGAAGGTCCCTTACGTTAACAGCCCTGGAGAGAAACACCGAATCAAACAACTTCTCTATCAGCTGCCACCCCACGACAATGAGGTAGGCGCAGAATTCTGGGTGCACCGGTGGGGCTTAGGTCTCCCGGGCGGCTCTTTGGCGGAGGATGACCTGCCTGGGTATTTACGACAAGCCTCAGCCGTGGCCTGCGGTGGCATCTGACCTGCAGAGCCGCGCGGCCTGCACACTGAGCCCATTGTCCGGTGTGCCGGGAAGTGCTGTCCGCAGGGACGCTGCCTCCGCTTGTCAGGGAGCCGGGTGTCACCGCAATAAACTTCACACGGGTTGGTTTTACAGTGTTTGCAGCCACCCACCAATTACCAGGAACCTACAAATTCCTGGAATTGCATTGTAGCACACAGAAAGGATGCTTTGTGATAGTAAAAGGTTTGCATCTCAGAAATGCGGTGTAATTTGGAGTAGAAGTGGAAATAACAAACAAGCTCTTTGTAAGGAAAGGGGGCGGGGGTGTCGATACTTAAGATCTTGTCTGTACCGCAGTACTTAGTTGCAGGCACTTAACCATAAATCTGAAGGACAATGTTACAGCTGATTGAGGTTCATTCCATTATTTTAGGGTAGCGGCAGGTTTTGGTCTGGCTTTTCATAATCTTTATTTTTTGCCTAGACATCTTCTCAGTGTAGCATGGCGGGATTTTTTCCCCGTAACACACAATATCTCTCTCCGTACTGCTTCTGTGTTGTGCTGTACGAGATAACTAAGATGGTAGAGAAGACAAGTTGGAAAAGTTCCATGATGATTGCCAGCGTGCCTGATGACTTTCTCGCATATATGCACTTACTTTAAAAGCTCAGTATCTAAAGCAAGTTCTCCCGTGTTTTGGCTGGCAGGTGAGATACTGCCAGTCTTTAAGCGAGGAAGAGAAGAAGGAACTGCAGATGTTCAGCTCTCAGCGCAAAAAGGAGGCGCTTGGCCGAGGCACTATTAAACTGCTCTCAAGAGCGGTGATGCACGCGGTTTGTGAACAGGTAATGCGACTGGTGCCACAAGCCAGCCAGCGGGCTGAATAATTTAAAACTACAGTATCTCAATATTAAACGTAAGCTTATCTCTATGTCTGAACACCAAAAAAAAAATTATATTTGAAACTGTATGTAAATGGAAAGAAGGTAGTGCTTGCTTAAGCAAAGCATAACCTTTGATACTGGGAATGAACTGAGTCTTTGATGTATTTCCTACTCAGAAAACCTGTTGCTGACTCATTAAAGTAATGACAAATGAAAAACAGACATATACTTAAAAATGTTATTATGTATAAACTAAATTTCTGTTCACAAAAGTTTGTTGATGCAGAGAGTTGGTCTAGACCAGAACCGAGACTATTTTTTCCCTCGTGACAGAACTTTGGAATAAAGCCTGCGTATTGGGTTTGGTGTTTTATGTTACTTTAAATGCTAGAAGCTAGTGCTCACGTTCTGGTTTTGTTCCTAGTGTGGTACAAAGGTAAACGGCGGTGAAGTTGCCGTGTTTGCCTCGAGAGCCGGGCCTGGGGTGTGCTGGCACCCCTCGTGTTTTGTGTGCTTCACCTGTAACGAGCTGCTCGTTGACCTTATCTACTTCTACCAAGATGGGAAAATTCACTGTGGCAGACACCACGCGGAACTGCTCAAACCTCGATGTTCAGCCTGCGATGAGGTAAATAATGCCCGTTGTACAGCCAGTCTACACTCCTGTTGTTCAGTTAACGAACTGTGCCGCTTGGGCATTGCTAACTTCAGATGCCTTCGTTTAAGAAGTCAGGACTCTGCTGTGTAGATGTGTTTGAAGGCTGAGGGGCGTTCCGTTTCTTGTCAAATTGGCAATATTACAAGCAATACGATGGTGTTTGGAAAGCACATACATGTTCATATCTAAAATAGAATCTTGTAGACTGAATTAGAAAAAGGATCTGTGCAAATATTCCCAAATACCATCCTGAGAGCAGCTTCTTTAATGGTCGAGTCATTGTGTTCTCTTTTTTTTTTCCCCTTTAAAAAGTACAGGTTTGGGTGGTTGTTTTTTTTTGTTACAGAAGAGGTCTTTTGAATACAAGGGGAGCTAAATAAAAATAAATTTAGCATGTGAACTGCACATTTAGGATATTTTGCATGCTCTAACTCCCAAGGTGAGGTTTTGGCCACTTAACTAAAAGTTGCCTTTTTATCTGTGACAAGATCATTTTTGCGGATGAGTGCACAGAAGCTGAAGGTCGCCACTGGCACATGAAGCACTTCTGTTGCCTGGAGTGCGAAACAATCCTGGGTGGCCAGAGATACATCATGAAGGACGGGCGACCGTTCTGCTGTAACTGCTTTGAGTCTCTCTACGCGGAATACTGCGAGACCTGTGGGGAACACATCGGTAAGCGTGTCCTTTCTAAGCCATAAACTTAGATATTTAGGGAGACCCAATTTATGACATTATTTCACATTCCCAAAGTGTGGATTCTGCGAGCAGTTTTTTGGAGAGCCCCAAAGCATTGCTTTTTGTCCCTTTCCAGGTGTTGACCATGCTCAGATGACCTATGACGGACAGCACTGGCATGCCACGGAGGCATGCTTTTCCTGTGCTCAGTGCAAGACCTCTTTGCTTGGCTGTCCTTTCCTTCCAAAGCAAGGGCAGATCTACTGTTCAAAAACCTGCAGCTTGGGCGAGGATGTTCACGCCTCCGACTCTTCTGATTCTGCATTTCAGTCTGCTCGATCCAGAGATTCTAGGAGGAGCGTCCGCATGGGAAAAAGCAGCCGCTCAGCCGACCAGTGCCGCCAGTCTCTCCTCCTGTCGCCAGCCCTCAATTACAAATTTCCTGGCCTTTCAGGCAATGCCGACGATACTCTTTCTCGTAAACTGGATGATTTAAGCCTTTCCAGGGAAGAGGCAAGCTTTGTTAATGAAGACTTCTGGAAGGGAAGAGTAGAGCAAGAAATGCCCGAAGACCCTGAAGAATGGGCTGAACATGAAGACTACATGACTCAACTTCTTCTGAAGTTTGGCGATAAAAGCCTATTCCAGCAGCCCACTGAAGTTGACATTAGATCAGGTGACCACTGGATTTCTGATAGCATGGTTAAGAGCAAGCTGGACTTGAAAAAAAATAATCCAAGCCTGGCAAGTAAGAAGTATCAGTCAGACATGTACTGGGCCCAGTCACAAGATGGCTTGGGTGACTCTGCCTATGGCAGCCACCCAGGCCCTGCCAGCAGCAGGAAAATCCAGGAGCTAGACATGGAACACGGGGCGTCAGGATACAAACACGACCAAACACCGTGGTATGGAGGCTCACTGGAATGTTTGTCTGACCTGAAACAGCAAGAACAAAGTGTTCGAGACTCAATGGATTCTCTGGCTTTGTCGAACATAACAGGTAACGGGGGAAACGGTGAACGGTTTCGCTGGAGAGCGAAATCAAAGTATGCATGTTGGAGTATTTTGAACTAAGACTTTACATAGATCTGTGATTTCTAAAAAGCTTCAGTAGCAAGAGATGCATGTTGTAAAGCAGCAATAGCTTTATAAGATAGCTTTACAAGATAAATAGAATTTAAGCAACAAAAATGTAAATTCTTCTCCTTTCCTTTCAAATTCTCTTTGCTTAAAACAAAACAATCCATAGTGTTAAGCAGAGTAAGAATGGTCTTGAACTATGTACTTGCTATGTACAAACCACCGCTTTAAGCAAATGAACATCTTTTTTTTCCACACCTTAAGTACAAGAAGTTGCATTATACACTAGGATAATATTAAAGATAATCTGCAAAACACTTTAGGTAATTTCCTGATTTGCTTGTAAAAAATATGTAGAAAATCTGGAAGATGGTAACTTTCTTAGCTGTAGGAAATGAGATTTATGAGATTATCTTTGTCCATTGACTGAGGAGAAACTGATAATCCACTTTTGTCAACCTCCTTGTCAAACGTGACTGAAATTAGCCAAAGTGATAGAAACCAGGTATGCAAGGGTCTGTGTGTGCGTGCTAACCTTCCTTTCCTGTTTCCCGACAAAAAACCCAAACCTGAGAGTTAGGTGCAAGAGACTCATTTTAAAAGTTGTCCTGTCCTCTTCTTCGTTGCTTTCCTTCTGTCATCTGAATTAGTGTAGCTACTCGTGTAGCTCAGAACTGACCGCGTGCTGCATTGTCCAAGCAGTAATGAAGGAACTGGCGAGGGGAGCTTGGTTCAGGGGGCGCGGGAGGAGGAACAGGAACCAGAGGTATTGCCCCTGGGAACATCACAGGGCAGATGACGCTGGTGGTGTGGGAATGAAGGGTCGTTGGACACAACCCTGGAGTCAGCCAGGCCAGCTTAGTGCTGGTGATTTTTGGAGGGTAAGGATCCTTCTTTGCGAGGCAGTAAGCCTGGCTGTCTTGTAGCAACAGCTGGAATATTGAACTTAGCGATACCAGAAACATTAAATATTTTAGCCTTAAAAATGGCAAGTACAGACTGTAGAATAATTTTAGGTAATTCTTTTTTTCTTAGAGGCTTAGCTGTGTGCATGCTAGAGCTGTTTCAATATTTACAACTCGTTAAAACTTCTTCCACTCTCAGTGTCCTAATGTTAGCTAATTCTTTGGTAATCAGAGCTAAGACTTGAATGTTTTGGGTCAAAACAAAGCGAATTCTTCTATAAAGCTAGTCCTTTTGGTAATAGTTCCAAAAACCACTAATTAAAGGTCTGCTTTACTGAAAAGAAATATTGAATATTTTGTTACAGTACTTATCTCTTCAATAGTCCTCTCACTTTCCTTTTCCTTCTTTCTCCACTCCCACCACAGGGGCTTCAATGGATGGAGAAGGCAAGCCACGGCCGTCTCTCTACTCTTTGCAAACTTTCCAAGAACTGGAGGTGGAGGACTGTGAGAAAATGAGCAACATGGGAACTCTGAATTCTTCAATGCTCCATCGGAGCACGGAGTCCTTGAAGAGTCTGAGCTCAGAGCTGTGCCAGGAAAAGGCCTTACCAGAGGAAAAGCCGGTGCATGTGCCTGTACTGAGAAGGTCGAAGTCCCAGTCTAGACCACAGCAAGTGAAATTTTCAGATGATGTTATTGATAATGGAAGTTACGAGAATGTTGAAATACGTCAGCCTCCAATGAGTGAAAGGACTCGTAGGCGTGTTTACCATTTTGAAGAGCGTGGAAATCGGCCTTCTCATCATCGCAGAAGAAGTAGGAAGTCTCGCTCAGATAATGCACTTAACTTGGCCACAGAAAGAAAATGCTCTCCGAGAGAGAGATTTCGTTATTACTCCCCTCAGGATCATGAAAAAATTATTCAGAACAGAAGCTCACGTGAGATTCGGGCATATATTCAAAATGCGGAGCTGTACGGACCATATGCCCATACCAGGTCTGATTATGCGCTGCGGAATCAGGTGGTTGATAAGTTTTTTGGATTGTATGGTGAGGAAGATGACTCCTGGTGTTCAACGTCATCCTCATCATCCGATTCTGAAGAGGAGGGGTATTTTCTAGGACAGCCAATTCCACAGCCGCGGTCACTGAGATACCCGTACTATACAGATGACCTTTCTGGTCCAACTACTGCGTTATCTAGTTCTCAGGTTGGACAAAGGACAATCAAATCAAAGAAGAAGAGGGGACACAAAGGAAAAAATTGCATCATTTCTTAATTTGTTTTAGCAGTTGGGAAGACCAGTCGACTCTCTAGCTACAGTTGGAACCACATCTTTTTATATTAATAATTGTACTTAGGCAAGTTGCTAAGGTTCTTGATGCTTTGCCAGTGTAAATGGTAACCCTGCCAGAGTTTACATTGTACAAGTAACGTTCAGAAATGTCACCATACCAAATGACCATCTGCTCAGATATTGCTAGGTTTACATACTACGTTTCAGCTGCCAAAATACTGTTACTGCAGTTCTCGACACAGACTTTTTGTAGACGTTTTATTTTATGCTTGCTATTCACCTATGTTGAATTATCCGAGAGAGGGGATTCAACAAAGATCAATAAATAAAATTGTCAGTCCTGTGCTGTAGCTATATCCACACAGGGTGATCTTTGACTTTTTTCTCTTACCGCCAAGAAAAAGAAGGCTTTGTGCTGTGCCCT